ATACCATGCAGATAGGTTTCCTACAGTATCAATTCCTTTTTGAAAAGTTATATTTTATTTTTATAAATGTTAACAATTCAAAGTCTCTTTTGCTAATTTCTCTGAAGGATCAATTTACAATAGATACCAAATTCATCCAAAACATATTTTTAACTAAAACATTTTTATTTCAATTTACATTCAAAGTATTTTAAACAACCTCTGAAATTTTAAGTGGATTGTAATTGTCCAGTTTTCATTTTGTGTTTATAAATGCACTTACTATAAAGCTTAACAGAACCCTAGGATGCTCATTGGCAGGAAGATGGAGTAGAGCCTTAGAGAACAAGAGAACGGGGCTGGGGGAGAAAGAGGGCCCCTGGATACTTGGGGGTGTGTGATTCTCAGCCTTCAAATACACTCCCAAAGCCTCCAACTGTGGTTTAGCATATTTTTAACAACTTCAGAGATATAAAAAAGAAATGAATTTGAGGTACATTAATAATTGTAGTATTTATAGAAAACTGACCATTGGCAAATTAGTTTCTTAGTAATGCAGTTTTTGATGGATTTGTGTTTCTCCAATTAATCTGGATCTTTTTTGAATCACATACAGTAATCTACAGCCCATTTCAAATGTTCCCTCCACACTGCTTCCCAGGTAGCTTTATGAACAGAAAACCATGTCTTGGTACTTCTCTGCTTAAATTTCTTCTATTTTCTCTTGTCATACTGGGAAGAAAAAATTAAGTGAATTTCAATAGTGCTATTGTTAAATCTTGCAAAGACCAGAATACCTGAATCCCACCCTCTAAGCACACCAAACCACATGGTGTGAGTTCTTCCCTCCAACCCTTGCAGCCCTGAAGTCTTTCCTAACTTCCCTGTCTACAGTCAGGTAAGTCTCTGTGTGGCATTTTTGTTTTTGTTTTTGTTTTTGTTTTGTTCCATTTTGTTTTTGCCCGGGATGGCCATTATCAGCTCAGCCATCACCTGCTCTGAGAAGCACACCTGGAAAATCTGTCTCAGTCCTGTTGTGATCTTTACACCATCAACTCCCCATCCTCCTTATCTTGAAAAAGTATTATTCATGAATTAATCCACAAATAATACTCATCTTCTAGCCCTACATTGCCAACCCTTTGCAAGGGAAAAAAATAACTGAACCAATGGGTACCCCTATAAAAACTATTAATTTATAGTCCTGTGCCCCTGAACCTTCAGCATGGTTTTTAGTCAGCACATATGCCCTTCCCTTTAGTGGCTGTTGCAAACTTTTGTCTTCTTTTTTCCTCCATATACATCTCCCTTTCCATGTGTGAACTCCTGGAAGGCAGGATTCTTGTAGTTTCATCTTTGAAACCAAAGACCTTACTTCTTTAGGGGTATAAAAATGTTGTTAAATGACAGTACCCACCATCTTGTATCTGCTGGGTTTTTGTGAAAAGGGAAAAAGCTATTGGGAACTAGACTGCATGGATGTGTCAGCGCTGAGATGGAGGGGACCCTGATCATGGGGTGGGAAATGCAAGGCATTCAGCCTGTATGGTCAGGACAGGGCTTTAGAGATTTGACAGTAGCTACAACAAGGAGCAGTAAGTCCCTCTTCCTCTAAATCTAATCAAGATGTAGGTGAAGTGTGGTCCTGGACTCTCTGCCATAATAGCCCACATAGCTCACAGAGCTGCACTCACTTTGTTCTCCTTTCATCAGTCTGTGTTATGACTTTGTTTTGCACTCAAGTTTCTGCATTTGTGAGCCCACTGAAAGGATGACCAAGTTCTGAGACCTGAAATTATAACTAAAAGGCAGTTCTGTGCAGGGGTAGTCATATCACTACAGAGAAAGAAAAGGCAGGGATTCGTGATCAAATACATGTAAAGTGCTTTCTGCCCCCCCTTTTCCTCTGTAATGAAGGGATAAGGGGTAAGGATTCAAAATCATAGTAATTCCATCATGTGCACAGAGATGGGAAATGACAAGAAGACTTTGCTATCTTTGTTAGTGATGTCAAAAAAACCCCAACAAAATGATGAACTCGCTATTATATTAGAACTCACGTGTATGCAGCTCAGCACAGATCATAGAGGATTTTTCCACATTATGCTGCATCCTGACAGTGTCCTGTGAGGTGTCCATTCTTTCTACAGATGAGGCAAAACTAAGTCTCCCAGAGCTAAAATATTTTATCCTTGGTCACTCTGCTACTAATTTGACTCTTTTTCAGATTATCTAAAATGTGATTTTAAAGAGATAATTTTGTGTAAAGAGAAAGGACCCACTTTATATTAGTAGTCATGGAAAATTCACCTAACTGGTTACCTAAGGGATCATATGGGAACATATTTGAGTAGCATTGTAAAGACTTAGAAAAATTTAGGGATAGATGCTTGCTAAATTTTTAATAAAAGGAAATAATATTCTGGGAGCAGTATTTCTAATTATACTACCATTGGCATTAAAAAGGCCACAGAGCCCTTTAATATAAATAATGTTTCTTAATTCCTGAAGTGAACGTAGAATGGGGTCCTGGATGGCAATTCAGGTGACAAGATAATCATTTAGTTTATGGTTAGTGCACTGACTACGCACAGATGCCAGGGGATGCTGACCAGGGAAGATGATTTCTCTGTGGATTTCCTCAAAGAAGGAGTCCACACCTTTAATCTTCTACACTGAGGGAACAGAGGATGTCCCTGGGGGGACTCTCCCTACTGTGCCCTCAGTCATGTTAATGACTGTTTCCTCATCTCATTGTCTACCCACATGGGCACACACTGCCCTCCTCCAAAGTGCCCTGCCTCTGGGCCGGTGGGGTGATTCAGGTGAGGTGCCAGCAATGGGGATGTCTGTCTGAGTGGCCTTCATCTCAGACCAGGCTAGCACTGGCTGCACTGAAGAATGTAGCCAGAATAGGGACACTGGAAGGAACTCTAGACAATGTAGAGAATGATGACTGGGTCAGGGCAAGTGGCTGGAAGAAGCCCAAACCAGGGCCTTTCAGATGAGATTTCAGCCAATCAGAAAACGGAGCCTAAGCTGACACTTTTGTTGCTAGTAGAGAAGTCTGTGTGAAGAGGCCTGTGAGATGGGGAATACCCAGGTCTGACACAGCCTGTTCTGCACAGGTCCAGAACAGAAGTGACAAATTTTCCCTTTAAGACGAGGGAGGGTGGTGTAGGGTGGGGGGAAATGGACCAGAGGCCTCTGTTATTCTGAGGGACCCTGAGGTGAGGGTTGAGGAAACTGAAGAACCTTCAAGTACTTTCTCTGACTATTCTTTCTTGTCCCCAAACCCTACTCCAGGTCTGAGTTGGATGTTCGCCCTGTATGCTTCCACCCTCATTCTTGAGTTACACTGACCCTGATACCCCACTGTGCCAGGAAGCCCAGGGACAAATTCCCAGGCTCAGGTGCTCTGGAGTGATGGGCCCAATAGAGAAGACTGGAAGAACTCACTGCTTCCATGGGCCACTAATGGGACTTCTTGTCTTGCTTCTTCCCTATTTCTTTTTACCTGGCAAATTTCTTATGCTCTGCTTTTAGATCTTGTCCTCAATTTTAACAAGGAGATGTCAAAATGCAGGGAAGAGGGGGAAGAAGGTAGAGAAGAGAGGAGATGCTTATTATCTTGTTTATGAATGTTTGCCAGGCATTGTTTTAATTGCTCTATAACTTTTAGTACTACCCCTAGTCATGAGCAAGAGGAGCCTGATAAATAACACATTTATTAAAAGCCCCACATCGATAGTCCTGCCACATGGGGTTTGATGCTTATGGGCTGGCACCATACAAGCTATGACTCTGAATATCTCCCTCAGTTAACACTGTTCAGGTCCCCAAGGAATGCTTCTCCACATCTTTTGCTCTCTGTTCTGGAAACTGAAGGTAACTGTGTCTGAACATTGTGAACAGTTGTGGATTGTACCTTTGCTGACAACTGATGAACCTGTTTCATGGTTCAGGGAGGATTTAAGCAGCTGAAGCACTTCTAAGAAAAAAATCAAATTCAATGTAGAACCCACCTCAGAGTTATCCCCTTTGATAAGTGAGGGTACAGTGGTACTTATCACCTGATTCCCATCTTTCATTGGCCAACAGATACTCTCAGGGCCATTAAACCTCCAGCTCTTGTGGCCTGCCCCAACTGCATTGCAGGCTGAGAAAACCTCATGATGGAGAATTTTAAGACCTTGCAATAGGCTCCATCAAGAACAAACAAACAAACATGCAAACAATGCCCTTTTCCTCCAAAAAGAAAAAAAAAGAAAAAACTAACTTAACTTTCAAATACTTTCATTCAAAGAGCACAAATGCAATACATTTTTTTCATAATGAAGAATCACTTGCCAGCAGGGCTGGGTATCATTTGTTTGTGACATTACTAATGGTTACATGTGACAGGAGAGAGGAACACTGTGATATTAACCAGTGATATTACTGGTAAGTTTGTATGTAAGAAGCCATAGATGTAAAATGGATGAAACATGATCCACATTTTCCAAAGAGAAGCCTGAGGCAAAAAGAGGTTGAGTAGTGATTTGTTGACTCTCATGAAGCACATCTGAGATAGAACTTCAGCCCCAAACCATTTCCTCTCAGAGCTCAGCTCTTCCCACCACAATTTAAGGCCCCTGGAGTGTTTAAGATAATAGAAGGGAATGTCTCCATGACAACAATTTTCTCTTTCCTGATATATGATCCCCATTCACTTGCCTCTACTAAAAAACTCAGGTATAAGAACAATAGATTTTAACTGAATATCACACAAAGATATCTACCAGAACAATTTTTCTCTTTGCATTCTGTAAACCCCTAAGACATTCAATCTTCAGATCTTCTATAACAGAAAATCTTCAGTGCAGTTTGATGAAGACTAGGTTCCAGGCATCAGGTAAAGAACCTTCATAAAAAAAACATCTGCTCAGAGACAGATGAGGGCCTTCAGCTGCAGTGCTGATTGGTTCCTGTCCTGGGGACTCTCCAATCCCACCTTGCATCTGACACTTTCACTGGTTTTTATTCTCTGAACTCTACCTCAGAGTCATCAGGAGGAGCTGTGATCACTAGTGTTACTTTTTCCTTTGTTCTCAGTTATGTCTGGGAAAATGGCTCTGCGGATCCCCAGGGGCCCTTGGACAGCAGCTGCGATGGTGACCTTGCTGGTGCTGAGTGCCCTGGTGGCTGAGGGCAGAGACTCTCCACGTGAGTGCAGGGTAGCTGTTCCCCAGAGCCCCCAGCCTGGGGACCAGGCTCTGAGGGACCCTTGGGCTGGGGCGTGGGCTGACTATGATCTGAGAATACAGTCTTTTATCACTCATTTCCTCTCTTCTGTAGAAATAGCTATGTTACATTTTCTCTTTTGCCTTCTAAAGTGAAAGTGAGGACAATAACAATCCACTGGCTCAAGGCTGGGGATGTTATAATGGGAGAAAGGAGTTGGTGTGCACCTGCCACCAGTGATAGGAAAAGGGGTTATTTTTGAAGATAAGAGTTTCTCCAAGGAAGACAGAGCAGGATTTGTCTTTTCAGGGTCCCCCAAGATCTTGTCTGGACTAAATATTGGGTTGGTCAAAAAGTTTGTTTAGTTTTTTCCCTTATGATGACTCTAGTAGTGCTTAGTTGTCTTTAATTTAATTCAAAACAATTTTGTTAGATTGTATTGTGACATTGTCATATCAGGATACATTTTAAAAATCATCTAAAATTGGTGAATTTTTGTACAGTCATTTTAATATTGCAGATGGAAAAACATATGCAATGTTTTTGGTATATTATGCTTTATTATTTCAAGAAAGGTAAAAAAAGCAACTGAAATGCAAAAAGAGATTTATGCAGTGTATGGAGAAGATGTTGTGACTGATCAAACATGTCAAAACTGGTTTGAGAACTTTTTTGGTACTATTGAAATTTTGGGCAAACAATCCTTTCCTGTGGGGCTGTCTTATGCATTGGAAGATGTTTAGCAGTAACCCTGGCCTCTACCCACTAGGAGCCAATAGTGGGAGATAGCCGATATACTTAAAATATCCAAAGCAATAATTATTGGTGAAATGAAAAATGTCTTTTATTTTATAGAAAGAACCATATGGACTATGTGGCCAACCCAACACTAAGGGATTCTGAGTTGGGGAAATGTGGCAGTAGGGGTCTCAGATTTGAAGGAAAGGACCCCACACCCCTGAGTCAGAGTGGGAGGTTCTGGAGGTGAAGTTTTGGGGCCTGAGTGCAGCTGACTGACTGGGCAACCACAGACAGGGAGTCTCAACTCCCAGTTTCACTGATTTAGGGTCAAATAGTAAATTGAGGGATTCAGAGTCTTGTGTTGATGGTGGACTGAATTTAAGAGAAAGGAGAATGTGAAGAGGGGAGTAGTACATATAGAGAGACCATTTGTTTCAGACACAGGACTCTCTCCACATACATTCTCTGCCAGTCTTCCTAACACCCCGTGTGCAGGCATTACGGTCTTCCTTGCACACACCTGCATTTATGCTACAGATGCTCCAGGTGCCCTGTTCAAGCTGGGAACTGGCAGTTTAACTGGAATCTAACTCATGTAATTGAAAGCCCGTGCTCTTTGCATGAGTAAATGCTACTTTCTAGGCGTCGGGAGGTGTCCGCCCCTTCCCGCGGCAGTGGGGGGGGGGCGGGGGAGGAAGGCACTTTGTCAGGGGCCCGGAGATTGTGACCGTCGGCACGAGGACGGGCTTAATCCCAGACCCTCCCGTCGCCGCTTCCCTTGAACTGTGGTGCTCGTGCGGGCACTCGTCTCTGAGGCCCCCGGGGCTCTGGGGAAAGGGGGGTTTCCTGTGACAGCGCCCCGGTTCTCTGAGGACAGGGGTGGACGTGAGGTCGCCCCGACTGCCCGACTGCCCGGGTGTCCGGCTCCGGCGGGGACCGCCGGTCGCAGCGCCGTCCCCTCCCCACACACCAGCCGTTCCGGGCCCGGGGATGGGGGAGCGGCGGGAGGAGCCCCCGGAGGGTGGCTCGGGGTGGGGCGGCCGCGCGGGGCGGCGGGCTGACCGGGCGGCGGTTCCCCGCAGGGGACTTCGTGTTCCAGACTAGGGCCCTGTGCTACTTCACCAACGGGACGCAGCGGGTGCGGTATCTGAACAGATGGATCTACAACCGGCAGGAGTTCCTGCGCTTCGACAGCGACGTGGGGCAGCACCGCGCGGTGACCGAGCTGGGGCGGCCGAGCGCCGAGTACTGGAACCGGGAACCAGGGACATCCATGGACCAGGAAGCGGGCCGAGGTGGACACGGTGTGCAGACACAACTACCCGATGGACGAGGCCCAGGCCTTGCACCAGCGAGGTGAGCGCCGCGCCGGCTGCCGGGGCGGCCTGTGGGGCGGAGCCCGGGCCGCCAGGACCGGGAGGCGGTTCCGGTGGCGGCAGCGGCGGGGACTCGGGACCACAGCCTTCCTGGGGCCGCCTGAGAGGTCTGCTGCTCCCTCCACCGGTTTGCACCTCCTGCCTCACCTCCGACCTTCGCCGGAGCGGCGCCCGGTGCCCCCGAGTGCCCCGGCCCAGGCCCTGCCGTGAGCGCCCCGCACCGCGGGTCTCCGGCTGAACCGGCGCGGCCGGGTGGGCTCGGCGGCTCCCCAGCTGCCGTCGGGGCCCGGGCACACGGTCTGATATATCACAGTTGTCGTATCTATCATGTTTTGACTTTTTGGCCTAAAATTATTATTCATCTCAATTCTGATTTCTTAAGTGACTGTCACTAGTCCTGGGACCTCTTTGAGGCAGGGACTGTCACTTGTCTTTGTGTGCCTGACACGCTGACTGGCTCAGTGTGAGCTCAGTAAACCTTCATGAGATTAACGAGTAAATGTTCTCAGCTGCCATCCACTCAATAGAAAATAGAAGGTAAGTAGAGCCTTAACAATGGACTTTATTAATGATTTTGTGCTATTTTGCTTAATGCATTAAACTAAGCTCTTCTTGACTGGGATCTTAATTTGCAATTTGTAAATGCAAAGTCAGAGGAAAAAATTGTTTCCAAAAAACAAAAACAACCTTCAATGGTGTTGTAAAGCAGAATGTAATTTCTTAGAAAAGCTCAACAGAGCTGGAGTTTTGAAGTAAATAAATTGATGCTATTAAATTACTGAATACAAACGGTTTCAGGTTTCTTTGCCCTAGACCCAGCCTATTGTCTCTTCCCGTCTGTTCCTCCCTCAGTGGAGCCTACAGTGACCATCTCCCCGTCCAGGACAGAGGCTCTAAACCACCACAACATGCTGGTCTGCTCCGTGACAGATTTCTATCCAGGCCAGGTCAAAGTTCGCTGGTTCCGGAATAACCAAGAAGAGACAGCCGGCATTGTGTCCACCCCCCTTATTAGGAATGGGGACTGGACCTTCCAGATCCTTGTGATGCTGGAAATGACCCCCCAGCGAGGAGATGTCTACACCTGCCACGTGGAGCACCCCAGCCGCGAGAGCCCCATCACAGTGGAGTGGAGTAAGGGGCGCTTTGCTTCCTTCCACTGCGGGCCCACAGGACAGAGAGCAAACAGAGCTTCCCCTGGCCCACCCCATCTCATCCCCTATCCCTGATGTCACTGCTGAGCTGGACACCGTGGGATGCAAGAGCTGTGACCTGGCATCAGAGGATTCCTGATCTCATTGTCTTTCCAGACACTAGGGAGGTCAATCTGCACACTTTGGTCCCAGAGCACAGCCCTGAGAGCTCTGAAGGACTGACTCCTGCAGCTGGTGACTGTGGTCTCAGGGTCCAAGGATAAAGATGTGTCTCAAAGAGCAGGGATCTGCTTCCCCCTCTCTCTCACCCGCTTGTGGTGTCCAGAGATTTAATTGGCTGGTACTTCCCCTAGGGGTGGTCAGAATGGAGAACTAGGTTCCCCTGGTACCTCCACCTTCTGTACCTCAGACTGGATGTTAGGGGTTTCCCTAAAGGGCCACAGTGGGTGTGGGGACAAATGCTGACCTCAGGCTCTGCTACCCAGGGGCGCAGTCTGAATCTGCCCAGAGCAAGATGCTGACTGGCGTCGGGGGCTTCGTGCTGGGGCTGATCTTCCTTGGGCTGGGCCTTTTCATTCGTCAGAGGAAACAGAAGGGTAAGGAACTCTGGGGAAGTGGGGAAGATGAGCTACAACTGAGACCCTGTCTTGAGGAAGGTCCCTGCTTCTAGGTGTATTTCCTCCTGACCTGGAAAGAAAGAGGCTGGGCTGGTGGTGGGAGGAGACAGAACAGCCTAGGGGAGGCTTTGAGCTCTGATTCCACTGGCTGAAAGGCAGCCCTGCCACAGACAGGACTGGTGGTAGCATGAGTCCTAGCACTCACAGCTCATCATCGTCTCACTGGCCCCTGTCCTCAGCGTGTTGCCCTCCCTTCCTTCTAGTGATGTTCATTCATTTGGGGATTTTAGCTTGTGGCAGTTTAAGGCCTTGTGGCCAATGGGTAGGGAGAACACAAATTTTTCAATTAGGTTGTTTCTCTCATTTCCCTTCGGGTTGGCGAGACACTGGTTGCTCATGTAATGAGACCTTTCTTTGTATAACTTCCTTTTGTAGGATCTCACGGGCCTCCTCCAGCAGGTACTGTTTCTGCTCTGATTCAGTGCAGGGGAGGGTGTGTGTGTGTGCTGTGAAGACAGGTGCATGGCTTATTCTCTGCCACGGGATCAAGAGTCAGGGGAGAAGTTTGTTCAGTTTCTGAAGGAGGCTCTGGGGTTTGTTAGGCAGAACCAGGGCTTAACGTGGGTGGCATCTTTCTGTGAAACTTGGAGCCAGAGCCACATCTTGGGTGTTAGATACCAGGACGATGCCCAGTTTGTGCCTCATGTTGGTGGCTACAGTCTGTGGGCATTTATAAATGACTGCAAGAGGCTACTAATGGTAGAAGGAAGGTTAGTTATTAAATTTTCTTAGAAAGATTGAAGTGCCCAAATATCCTCCACCCCCAAGGAATAACAGCTGTGCCCCTGCCTTCTGCACATCTGTGTGCAGCTGAAGGGCATGTCCTTTTGGTTGGTTTCACCTTTACACAGATATTGGGAAGAGGTGATGACCCTGTGCCCCAGACCTCAGCTCTCTCTGATGCTGCAGGGACCCGGAGGGGAGGGGGGAGGGCATGTGCTCAGGGTGATGATCACTCTGTCTTTCACAGGGCTCCTGCGCTGACTCCTGAGGATACTTCAACTGGGATTGGCTGTGTCTTCTGTAATGCCTGCTTGCCCCTGCCTAGAATTCCCAGCTGCCTGTCAGCCTGTCCCCCTCTGAGATCAGAGTCCTACAGTGACTCCCACACAGTTGCTGGGTCACCTCCTGTGACCCTATAGTCTGTGCCTCTGGGCTGCCAGCTGAACCTACTCAAGGCTCCAAGACATTTTGTTTGTTTCTATTTCCTCCCACAGACTGTTCAAGAGAAGCATGTTAAAGCCTTCACCTGACTATAGAGCTTTTATTATAATTAAACATGTTATGTGTTATCTGTATACTGAGACTTCTTAGCTGGAGGGAGGCAGGAAAACCACTGCAGAATGAAAGGAACATATTTTGTTCCCTGAGGGAGACTGGAGGCACTTTGGGGAGCTGTGTGAAAAGCGGGCAGAGGAGGCAAAAACTGTAATAGCATAAACAAAATATAATAAATTTTAAAACCTTAGGACAACTGCTTGTGAGGATGTGGATAGAAAAGAGAATCCTCATACACTGTTGGTAGGATTGTAAATTAGTGCAGCCACCAATGGGAAACAGTTTAAAGGTTCCTCAAAAATTATAAATTAAGCTGCCATATGATCTAGTAATTCCACTTCTGGGTATGTATCTGATGAAAACAAAACCACTAACAGTAAAAATTATATGTACCCCAATGTTCATTGCAGCAATACTAATAAGAGCCAAGATATGGATGCCCCCTAGATATCCATCATTAGATGAGTGCATAGAAAAGATGGGACATCACACACACACACAGAAGAATATTTTCAGCAATAAAAAGTAGTAAAATCTTGTCATTTGCACATGGTTGGTCTAGAGGTGATTATACCTAGTGAAACACATCATACAGAGAACAAAAAATACCTTGTGATCCATTTATATGTAGAATATAAAAGCAAAATAAATGGACAAACAAAAAATATGGGCAGAAGAGATAGAAATCAATTCAGTCATCATCCTTCCTGGCTCTTTAGCACTGACGTTCAGGGCGGTGGCCTAGGATGTGCCGGCCCCTCTTCCAGTTCAGTCAGAGGTGTGTCTGTCAGCAGAGTGGAGTTACCTGGGCACAGGTCAAGTGGCCCCTGGTGTCACGAAGAACTAAACTGCTGTTTCAACTATATCTTGGCAACTCACATTGGTCAAGGTCAATTTTTATTTTTGGAAAAGTATAACCAGTAATAAAAGCAATATTTTTTGGTTCAAAATGATTGAAACCCATCTGAAATTTAGTTAGTTCATGTTGCAAGGAGGCCTGGGGTCAAACTGATTTCAGAAGAGAGTAGATGCAGATATTCAATGAGGTCTTTGTCTTTCCTCTTCCTGTTATATCTCTACCTGTGCCACTTTTTCTCATTGTTCCTGCATATTTTTTGCATTGTGTCTCTCTGCATCTTTTTATGTCTGTCTCTGCATCTCTGTGTCTCTCACTCTCTCATTGCATCTCTGTCTCCCTATTTTTCTCTAGCTTCACCTTTGTCACTATTTACCTGCCTCTTTTGACCTTTCTGTGGTTGTTTTTTGCATCCCTCTCTATTTTCTGCATTTCTCTCATCACCTCACAACTTATCTCTGTTTCTGTGTATGTGTGTGTCTGTCTCTTGTGTGTTTCTAGAGTGTCTACCAAAGTTTGAACAATTTTAGGAAAGATTATGAATGACCACATCTGAGTAACATGCACAGCTCTTAAAAACATCATCATGTAAATACATGGGACACAGATAGTCAGCCCTATGTTCACTCTCCCCCTTTAGTAGGAATATGGACTGGACCTTCCAGATCTTGGTGATGCTGTAAATGACTCCAAACCCCAGCACAGTAGAGTGGCATAAGGGACAGTTTGTTTCCTGTGGACCCCAGGAGGTAAATGGTAGTTTCCTCTGCTTCTAGTGCACATTGTCGGTGATGCTGACTCACACTCACCTCATCCCTTATCTCCTGCACAGTAGTCACCTGGTGGCACTGCTGAGCTAGAATTCTCAGAGGATAGAGCTTTCCTTGTCAGTGGACAGTGACCTGTTGTTTCCTTATGGCGTTCTCTTTCCAGGGGTTAAGGAAGTTGCTACACACTGAAGTTCCCATGACATGAGCCCAGCACTAACAGCTGGTCTCCATCTCATTCTCTGGGAGCTTATCTTCAGGGTATGGAAGGCTATGCCATTGAGGAGCAGGCATCCCCTCCTCCCTGCTCCCTCGCCCACTCATTGGGCCTAAGGAGCCAATGGAAGCCCTGTCTCTCTCTTGGATAAAGTGAGAATGGAGAACTAGGCATTCTTGGGCCCATTGTCTTCTGTACTCCAGGCTGTAATGCAGGTCACCAGGCATGGGCACTATGAATGTGTGGACAAATACTCTCAGGATGATTCTGTTCCCCAAGGTCATAATTTGAATCTGCCCAAAACAAGACACTGAGTGGTCAGAGGTTTTGTGCTGGTTTTGTCATCTTCCTGAAGGTGGACATTGTCATTTACCATAGGAGTCAAGAGGGAGTGACAGGGGAATGGAGAGGATTTGTGTTGGGTGTCCAGGAAGTCTTTGGTCTTTATATGTAGCTCTTTGCTTTTGACCCTGCAAAGACAAAAGGCAGGGCTGGATACTGAACCAGACCCAGAGCTTAGGGAGACATTGAGACCTGACTTTTCTAGTTGAAATATAACCCCTATTATGAGGGTAACTGATAGACTATATTATGGGACATTCTTACAGTTCCACATTGTCACACTGGCCCCCATGCTGGAAGAGTCTTTTTAATGAGAGAGTCAGAGTCTTCTTCCCTTCCAGTGACAGTTTCATAGAGACCACTGTTTTTTGTTTTTTGTTTTGCACTCAGATTTCATTGAATAATATAATCTTTAACTGATAATATTTGATAACCAAAACAACAAATACATTCTTTACAAACAAATTTTCTAACAAAAAAGAGCTGAGTAGGAAGTGTCTTAGTAGGCATATATCTTGGAGATAGTGTATGGGTACTACTAGATGAAAGCCTACTAGTATTTAGCCTTTGGCTCTTTCCCTGCATCATATCAGTCCATATGGGACAGTGTTCTCACCAATATTCCATAAGCTTGTGCACATTCCTTAGATTCCTCTGTGGTTAGGTTGGGGTCATGTGTCTAGTACCAGCCAACAGGACTTAAAACTGGGTGTCTGCTTGTGTTTTCCTACTACTGCAAGTCTGAAGGCCATTGTTGAGGTGAAGGTGTACAAGATGTTGGAGACTCATTAGTGAGTCCCTTGAATATCTGTAGAATTCAGTCCCACTTATTCAGTTAATGTTTTTACTGAGATTTAATGTTTACTGCAGGTTAATATCATACTGCAGCATATCATAGCCCTTCCTGATTATCCTAGAATGTTTAACTTAAGAAAGAGAGCTTGTAAGTTAATAAGGTGAACCAACTGAGTTAATGGAAGTTAAGAGATGATGAATTTCTAAAAGCGTTTATTTCTTTGTTTGCTTTCTTCCACCCCCCTGCCATACATCCCCCCACCAAAAAAACCATGTATGTCCAGTGACTAGAACATGCTTCTGTAATGATGCTGCCCTGGTCCACCTGGACTCCTTCCTCCTAGTACTGAAGGATTTATGCCCTTGGTTGCTGGCTGACAGTCCTCAGCCCTTAGGCCTCCTCCAGAATTGCCTTAGGTGAGGAGAGCTGCCTCACCCAATTTCACCCCACTTGCCAGGGGCACTCTCTTCCATGACTGCTCAGTGTGGGGCTACAGATGTCCCAAACCTCACCCTAATTTGGGCCAACTCTGAAGGTCTCTTTCAGCATCAGAACTCACTGGAGATTTTGATAAGGACCTTTATTTGACTGTATAATAGTCCACCTTCTAAAACCCTGCTTTAAACCACAAGACACCTTACAATTCAGGGGTGTCAAACTCATTTTCACTGGGAGCCACATCAGCCTCATGGTTGCCTTCAGAGGGCAGAAATACTTTTAGGACTGTATAAATGTAACTACTCCTTAACTGTTAAGGAGTTGAAATTACATTCAGCCCTTTGAAGGTAACCTCGAGGCTGATGTGGCCCCAGATGAAAATGAGTTTGAGCCCTGGCTGGCATAGCTCAGTGGATTGAGCATGGGCTGCGAACCAAAGTGTTGCAGGTTCGATTCCCAGTCAGGGTACATACCTGGGTTGCAGGCCATGACCCCCAGCAACTGCACATTGATGTTTCTCTCTCTCTCTCTCTCTTTCTCCCTCCCTTCCCCCTCTAAAAATAAATAAATAAAATCTTTAAAAAAAAAGAAAATGAGTTTGACACCCCTGCTTTAATCATCCTTCTTTCAGTTACTGTTGTAATTTATACACATTTATTTTTGTGTCTTCATACCTTTAGTATGGTGTTCTTGGAACATGGCAGTATCGGCATCTCTGCTCTTCCTTTCTCCTGTCCTACACACTTCCACATGCCAAACTGGGGTAACTGCACTATTTTTCATTCTGTCAAAGTAAAAAATATTAAAATTCTGCTGTAACAATTATTGTCTTGGGGTATGTTCATAGCTTATTTATAAAAGTTGAAAAAATGTTGTTTAACACTTTATTTTATTTATTTTCTTATTTTTAAGCATTTTTATTGTTGTTTGAATACAGTTTTCTGCCTTTTTCCCCCACCCCTCCCTACCACCCCAGCCCTCCCCACCTTCTTCCCCTGTTTCCACCCCTCCTTGTTATTGTCCATGTGTCCTTTATAATTGTTCCTGTAAACCCTTCACCCTTTTTCCCCATTATCTCCTCCCATCTCACCTTTGTCACTGTCAGACTGTTCTTAATTTCAGTGTCTTTGCTTATATTTTGCTTGCTTGTTCATTTTGTTGATTATATTCCAGTTAAAGGTGAGATCATATGGTATTTGTCTTTCGCCACCTGGTTTATTCCACTTAGCATAATGTTCTCCATTTCCATCTACCCTGTCACAAAGAGTAGGAGCACCTTCTTTCTCTCTGCTGCATAGAATTCCATTGCGTAAATGTAGCACAGTTTTTTGATCCATTCACTGATGGGCACTTAGGTTGCTTCCAGCACTTGGCTATTGTAAATTGTGCTGCTATGAACATTAGGGATACAAAGAAAGGTTGTTTTGGATTGGTGTTTCAGGGTTCTTAGAATATAATCCTAGCAGTGGAATTGCTGGGTCAAAGGCAGTTCCATTTTTAGTTTTCTGAGGAAATTCCATACTGCTTTCCATAGTGGTTGTACCAGTCTGCAGTCCCACGAACAGTGCACTAGGGTTCCCTTTTGTCCACAACCTCTCCAAC